ACACTGCTGCCCTCACCCTGTCCTTTCCATTCTCACACTGCTGTCCAGCCACGTGCCTGGGTCTCCACTGAGACCCACACTTCTGGGGGCTCCAGCTCACCTCGCAGAATCTCTTTCCCCAGAGCAACCTCTTCTGCCTGAGATGTCTCTTTTCTGCCTTGTTCCACCCTCTCCTACCTCCCCAGATGTATTCATAGGGTCACAGAAGCCTGGAGACAAGAAGGTCACTCAACTTCAGCTCCTGGGCCGCCGCATCCTCTCCAACCTTGTGCATCCACTGTACATGGCCGCTGAAAGAGGATGTCGACCTGTCAAGCCCAGCTCAGACTCTTAACATGCACCAGGTATGTGGTATGGCTTCTGTCCATTCTCACTGAATCCTCCTTACCAACGCATCTTACAAACACAAGAACTACAGCTCGAAAGGGCCACAGGGAGGACTGAGACCACACACCTGCTACGCTTTGGATTTTACAGCCCCAAGGGCTCATGTTTTGAAGACTTGGGCCCAACTGATGGAGCTACTTGGAGATGGTGGAGCATTTAGGATGGAGTGGGAGGGAGTGGAAGGAAGTTGAGTCGCTGGCAGTGTGCCCGGTCCCTCTGTCTCTCGCTCTTGTCTTTCTGTCTCTGTCTCTCTCTGACTCTCTGTCTCTCTGTCTCTTTCTGTCTCTTTTTTTTTTCGTGCAAATGCAATTCCACCATGATATTCCACCTTGCCACAGGCCCAAAAGCAACAGGACCAGAAACCATGGACTGAAACCTCTGAAATCTTGAGTCAAAACAAACTTTTCCTTCGTATACCTTGTTTAAATCAGGTGTTTCATCACAGCAACAGAAGGCTGACTAGCATACACTCCCAAAAGGCCAAGCCAGGATTCAAAGCCTGGAATGTCTGAGCCCATATTCTTGCCACACACCAGCTGCCTCCTTAATGTTATTTCATGTTTGCAAGACAGGCCTGAATTGCAAGACCCAGGACAAAACACCTCTCTTCTCCATGAGATCTCTCCTTCATCTTCAAGGTGAGGGCAGACAGCCGTCTAACGTTCCTTTGCTGTGAGTCCAGGCACAGCCAGTGCGTCCATCTGGCCTTGCACTCGGGAAGGGATGACTGCTGTACCCAGGGCCTGCCAGATGGGATGAGGCAGAGAGGAAGGGAGATCTGAGGGCCTTCAGAGGGGGTTACAGGAATACTGGCATCCCTCCTCACCAACAGAAACTCGACAGGACTTTCCAAGAACCCCAACAGAGAGAGACTGCAGGCAATGAGGAACCACACTGTTATTGGAGGCTCCTATAACATGACGCCAAATCTCAGACAGGACAGGTTGAAGAGAAAGACGCAAATGCATCCCAAAGATCCCAGAGTCCCCTTCCCTAGTCCCCCAGCTGGAACAGCACAACCCAGAAGAGGCCACCAAGCCTCTGTGTCCTCCTAGCCTTTTCAGACAGAGGTGGCAGAGGAACTCCGCACAGGTGTGTGGCAGCAGAAGAAACTTCTACCAGCTAAATGCGATCCTTCAGGCTGGCACCTTTACAAGCCCACAGCACAGGCGCAAGATCTTGAGGTCCCTGGGATCCAGGCTGGTCTGCACACCCACCATGCCATTCTTTCCTGTGTGCCTTCATGGGGCGCAGGCCCAGATGCCCTGCTCTAAGCTTATGTCCTCATTCTTCAGAAAAGAAACATGAGGTCTAGAGACAGGAAATGACACATCCAAGGCCCAACAGGGGATTTGGAGTAGAGACTGGGGTGAAATTAGCCTCCCAGCTCCCATTCCTGCCTTCTTTCTGTTATGCTCCCCACAATGGCCCACTTGGTTTCTTGGTGGCCCCTCCTTCCAGCTGTCCCAAGTTTTCCCAGACAGACACCCACTCTCCTACCTCTGGGGCTGCTCTGTGTAGAGCAGAATCCATAGGGGCAATGAGGAGGAACTGTCACAGTCCCCAGAGCCTACCTAGCCCGTGAGGTGGGGGCAACCCCAGAGCTCAGAGATCCAGAGCTATGTGGGACCCGGTTATCTCTGGACAGCAGGCAATAAGGAGTTGATTCAGTGAGCTGCATATCCAGTAATTTCCTCATTTGTCTTGTCAACATCCTTGTCCCATAGAGTGTCAAGTCCATTACATAAAGATTTTCTGCTAGGAAGATACTTAAGTGTTGAGTCCAGGAAGCAACAGGGGCCTGGGTTAAGGTGAGGACCTCAGAGCTCCAGCATTCAGGGAATAAGCCAAAGTTACTTCTCTACCAGAGTAAACTCAATGGCACCTGGCTGCGCAGTAATAGTCAGCTGGTACCAGGGCCATGGGGAGGGGATGACACAGGGGTGATCTGGACCCCCAGGGCACCTCCACGCCTACGCCAGCAATGTCTCATCCAATATCTGAGGCCCAGAGCACTGTCTCAAAAAAACTGATCCAAAATGGACCTCTATTCAAAACTAACCAGGAAATGTGACAGTCAAAACACTGAGTATGCCAGGCATGGTGGCACATGCCTGTAATCCCAGCACTCGGGAGACTGAGGCAGGAGGATCATAGAGAATTCAAGACCAGCCTGGGCTACAAAGTGACCTCAAGGCCAGCCTGAACTGCATAGCAAGACCCTGTCTCAAAGAGACAAAAACAAAACAACAGCAACAAAAGACCACTGATTAGAAAGGACTTCAGTCTGGCTATGGTCTAGCTCAGCTTTGTAGGGTGGGCAAGACTCAATATGAGGATGCTCTAGCCCATGTTGCTAGGATTCCCCCACCTGGGGTGGGGATTGATAGTGGGAGCCAGGAGCAGAGGGTTCAATGTAACTGATCAGCTTTGAGGTCTCCACCCCACTCTCCACCACCCCCAAGCACCACCAGGGCCCCAGGTCGTGTCCAATGGGCCACTACAGCTTGGATCTGGCATGTCCCCCAAAGCCTGTGTGTCCAGCCTGGCACCACTGAGAGGTGGTAGAAACTTCGTAGAGGTGGGCTCAGTGAGGACGTCCTTGGTCAGTGGGAACATGCCCTAGAAAGGGACCATGGGGAGCTGGTCTCTCCTTCTTCCTCTATTTCACTTCCTAGCCATGGGGGAAACAGTTTCGCTCCACCAGGAGCTCCCATCATGATGTGCCAGCAACAGAGCCAACTAATCATAGAAAGAAACCTCTAAAACTGGGCCAAAGTAAACCTGTTCTCTTTATCAGTTAATTATCTCGGGTATTTCTTATAGTTATAGAAAGCTGACTAACATGCTGGCCAGTGCCTCTCTCTTCACATGGGTCCAGGATTTCTGCTACCAGGAACACACATACCAACCCCATCTCCAACACCTACAGCAGGCATTCCCACCAGGGAGGAGGGTCACCTCAAAGGAGCAAAACCTAGTTCTCAGGTAGGAAAAAACATAGATACTACAGTGGCTTGTGCTCTTCCAAAACTAGACCCTTTGCGACAAAATTTATTTCTTGGTCTTCCATTTGTCTAGTTAGGGCAAATTAATTTCTCTCATGGGCAATAATAATGAAAATAATGGTTGAGAAACATAGTCATAGAGAATGCTTCATTCGAGAGGTTCAGAGTCTCACTGGAAAGTCATAGTTTATAGCAGTGATTCTCAACTAGCCGTGACTGTGCCCCTCAGGGGATATTTGGTCATGGCTGGGGACATTTTGGTTGTCACGACTGGAGGATGTGTTGGTGCATCTAACGCACAGAGGCCAGGGGTGATACTAAACCTCCTACAACACACAAAGTGGTTCTTCTGAAAGAAAGAACTACCCAGGCCAAAGTGTCAGCACTACTGCTGCTGAGAAGAGAAACTGGGCCCAGAAGCCTTCTGAGACTGCCACAGAAGCTCCTGGAAACCTGGTGCCTGCAGTGAAGAAGCCCTGCTCTGGCCATCTGAGCACCACGACGGCTCCTGGAAAAGCTCACCCTCCCCATAGCTCCAAGCAACACTAAGGTGGAGACCCGTCCCCAGTGCCCAGGCGTGGCGGGTGGCCCTGAGCCCCAGGCCTCCCTAACGCCAGAGAGAGCAAGGCCAAGACCACAAAGGTTATTTGCCTTCTGTGCATTTACCCAGCAAGCAAAGCCAGAGGCCAGCGTGGTCCCTCTCGCTCCCCAAGGAAGGCCAGGCGGGGCATGGCTAGGACTGGGGAGTCCTCCCTGGAATGCCTTCCTCAGTGGTTCCGAAGCCAAGGGAAGACCCAGCACGGGCCAGAGTGTGGTAACACTAGCAGTCTAGGAGAGTCTCCCTTACATAAGATACTTAGGTTAAGAAGTGCTTCAGAGTTCAGATTTTATTTTAATTTGGGGATATTTGCATATGCATAGTGAGCGATCTTGGGAGTAGAACCCAAACACAGATTCCAATTGTTTCATATGCACCTGATGCATTAGTAAACTTACACAACACTTTTAGTGCACAGCACCCATCGCATGTGTCAGGTGCTGGATGTTCCACTGTAACAACGTAACAGCAGACAAAAAAATGTGGACTTTGGAAAATTTTAGATTTGGGGGTTTGGGGATTAAAGGTGCTCCATCTGTACCAAAAACCCCAGCTATGCTTCCTGAAATTTCCCACCAGGTTTGCAGCACGCCATGAACTTTATGGTTCACCGACTCACACATAGCTCACAACAATCCAACAAGGTAAGGCTGCTACAGTCCCCACTTCACAGCAGAGGAAACTGAGGCACAGAGACCTTAAGCAACTTGGCCAAGGAGAACAGCCCCAAAGCAGAAGAGCCAGGGAGCTGGGAAGAAGGAACAAGGGCAGGTGCGGGTGACATCAAGCTTCAGCTTCAAGACCATGAGAGTCAAAATGCTAGGAAAGAAGGCCCTCAAGTGCTTTGCTCCAGACGACCAAGGAGAAGGTGATATGCTCTCCCTCTTCACAGGCCAGGCCCCGAGACGCAGGCACACTAAGGGCAAACTGATGCAGAGCAGAGTCAATGGCAGCTCAGAGCGGCATGAGGACAAGAGAACAGGCCGTGTCCCAGCAAAGCCACTTACCTGAGAAGATTGAAGCAAGCCTGAAGATGTCCGAAAGGCGCGAGGTCACGGGCTCGTAGGGGGAGGCTTCATAGAACTCCTCACCTAGAAGAGAGGTGGGCATCAGACACAGCTCCCCCTCCCCACACCATTCCCAGTCTGGGAAAGGTCCACTGCGAGGGCTTGTGCCGTCAGGGAGGATGAGCCCTTCAAAATGCAAAGCGCTGCCCAGGCAAATCCGGAATGAAAGGTTGCCCCTCGCACATGGGCAAGTTACTTCCCTCCAACTAGCACCTCCAGGGCAGGTGCTACTGCCTAGTTCTCTCCCATCACCTCCCTGCACAAGCAGCCCCTTTGACAAACATCCAAATGCTTCTGGAAAGGAGGACGGGAAAGGTAGAACAACCACCTGTGAAAGTCAAGTATCAATCATAGGATCTGAAGGTAGAGGCCCCATGACCACTGAGTACAAATTACTCATTTCACAAGAAAGGTTTCTGTGGTGGTCCAGAGAGGTGAATCCACCTGCCTGAGGTCACACAGCTTCTCTCAGCAGCTTCCTTCTACATCTTGTCTTCTGGCCCTCACTCCACACTGGTTCTGTGCAGGTCCCTCCAGAAGAAAGAATCTCCTCTTTGCTTCCCATCATGTGCCAAGAAAGTTTGGCAGAACGGGGTGAAGGTCACTGGGCCCAACTCCTGTTCCTGTCTGCCTAACATCCCCCAAACAACCTCTGCCACTTGCCCTCAGACCTTTCCATCAGAGTAAATGGGAAAGCAGAAGATAAACGGCACGGGGCTGCTCTAGGGACACCACCACCTCCTCAGCAGGAGCCCCAGGTGTCTGCCAACACCTCGAAGGGAAGGAAACGTCCTCTCTGAGGAGGAGAAATCAACGCGGACTCACTCGGACTGCATGCGGTGAGGGGCAGGGTGGACGGGGGTACCCACAGCCACACATAACAGTAACCACTTCCCATCTGTGGGGGCCTCCTCCATGAGCAGCCACCCCCTGGCTGTGGGGAGCCCAAGTGAGCAGCACCTGTGGGGACATCTGCAGGAAGAAACAGCCCTCAGAAGAGGGGCCTCAGAATGCTCTTGCAGGAGGCTCCGCAACCAGCCACGTGGTCCCCACCCCTGGGAATGCAGATGCAGCAAGCCCTGTGAGGTTCACAGAGGAAGGAGTCCAGCTGCTGGGGCCAGCAGACCCCCAGGAAAGGTACAGAGCCCTGGAGCAGAAAAGGAAATGTGCGCACTCCTGGTGAGATGGCCTCCACCCCTCACCTTCCCTCATAGGAGCACCCCATGTGCCAGGCCACACACAATGCATGCAGGGGTGACCAGTGGCCTCATCCAGATGCCTGGCATCATCATGGTCCCTGTCCAAACCCTGCTCCCTGATGACCTCAGTCACCTCCATTCCACCCACTGGCACTTAACTTACACCCTGTCCTAGGAAACTCCGAGGGTTGGGGCCCCCGGCCATTGCTGCCTATTGGATCCAAACGCTAGAACAGCCTAGGGAGCCCTTTCATAATAATAATAATAAATAAGGTGCTTTCAGGGTGCCCACACTCCTGAGTGTGCTTTAGACACTTCGGCTCAATCCCATCCTCTCTTCACTGCTCTGAGAGTAGGCACAACTGTTCCCCTCCTTTACTGACAAGAAACGAGGGAGAGAAACATTAAGTAACTTGCCCAAAGTGACTCAGCGTCACGCAGCTAGAAAGCGGCAGCTCCAGGCTTCAAACCCAGGCTCCGGGGCCCAAGTGCTTTGCCACCAAGAACACTGTCTGCAAACTGACGCGGTGTTATTGCAGCCACCTCCCTCCTCTCTGAGCGCTGTCTTTGTTCCACCTCTCGGAGGAGCAGTCCTGGCTGCCACGGCTGGCCCTCCCAAAGGCACCTAGCGCCTAGCTACGTAGCACAGCACCATGCCTGGGTAGGACCAGCCAGGACCAGTGACTAAGAGGGTCCCTGGAGGAACAGCCGCCCCCAGGAGCAGCTGGAGGAGCTTCACCCAGTCTCTACCTTCACCCAAACTTGCCGTTCCTTTAGCAGATTGGGCCAATGGGAAATCCTAGGCCCAGGATGTCAGATCTTGGGAACAGACACATGGGAGACAACTTTGCGCTTCACTGTAGAAGGATTAAGAGTCTCTGTTTCAGTGTCACCTGGCTTTGAATCTCCATGTGGCCCCCAGGGACAGCACTGTATAAAAACTCTCGGAGGTAAAGGCAGAGAAGGAAGTGGGCCGCCAGCCGTGAGAACTTCACAGGCCAGCTAAAGAGACCTGGACACTCTGTGAGGACCCTGGGCCCAAGCCTGGGTCCTACCACCAGCTCACTGTGTACCCCAGCAGCCATTCCACCTCTCTGTGCCTCAGATTTCCCACCCAGTGTGGGGTGAGCCCAAGCTCTCCCCAGCTTCTTTGCAGTTCAGACTCTGGGAGCCCCGTGGCCACATCTTCAGAGGCCACCTGCCTGCCACAGCCCACCTGCCTTCCTCCACCGCCAGTGCAGGCAGAGGCCTCGAGCCAGCACCATGAGCTCAGCCTCAGGCGGAGGGAGAACACTGAGCCAAAACCTGGGTGAATCACACCCACCCGCAGGGGCCAAGGGAAGCCAAGAATGGGAAGGAGAGTTCAAACCCACGCAGATCTCTCCTCCCCTCCGTGCCCTCCCTGGCCCAGGCCCAAGCCTGCTATTAAGTGCGATTACAGAGCATGGGGAGGTTCTCGCAGCCTCCCTAGGGAGACCATTCAACCCCAGCTGTGAATAATTAACTCTCAGGTGGACTCTGTCACTCACAGGGACAGGATCTGCTGTTCAAAGGCCTCCTGGACAGATCTGGAGTCCAAGACACAGGAGCATGTGGACCCCCAGGGGAGAAAAGGCAGGCTTCAGCAGAAGGGGGCAAGCTGGGGATGGGAAAGCTCTCCTAGCCTGGAAGTGGCCAGCGTAGGGACCCCAGCTTCTTGCAGTGCCACCGCTCTCAAAGGCACACAGTAAGTACTTAACTGATGGTCACTGAATAAAGTAGTTAAAAAAGAAAAAACTCATCCTATGGCCTGGAACCAGAGACAGTCATCTTTAGCAACACGCTCCCAAGTCTAAAAGGGCCTTGAAGACCCTCAGCAACGTACAAAGAAAAGCACAGAGCAGCTCATCACTATCTCAAAGTGAGAAACACATCACCTCTCCAGACAGGGCCCTGCAGCATGCTGCGCTGATAACGCCACACGGGGCCACAGAGATGGGCAGGGCTGTTGGTGCGAAAGCACCGGGCGGCCCACGGCTCTTCTACCAGCAGCCCTGTCCCTCCCTGTCCACTTTGCAGCCCAGGCAAACCCACCCCAGCCTGCTGCCTACTGTCCTCTAGGCTGACGCTGAAGGCCGCCAGGAAGAGAAGAAGGAAGCAAAATTACTGCGCTCAGGAGTCAGGAGCCTTCACTGTGCAGAGTCAGCCTCTGAGTGACAGTCCCTTGTCCCCCGTGAGCAAAGTGCAGGTGCCTTAGGACAGTGTTTCCCTCTCTGCCTATTGTAGCTCCAGGAATCGAGGTTGCCAGGGAGAAGTGCAGCTTGAAGCATGAGGAATTACAGTTATTAATGGCAGCAATACTAATAATAATTATATGCGCTTCTTATTCCTATATTCACAGCATATTTGAGCCACCTTAGTGCCTGCTCAGAATCCCTCCATCTGCAGCCTCCAGACCTGCAGCTGGAATCCTCCTCCTCTTCCGGCACCCTGGAGAGAGTTCTTCTCTGATCTAAGCCTAATCCCCTACCCGGCCCTGGACCCACCCGCAGTGCTCCACCAGGGCCACAGTCCACAGAGGACACTCCTGTCTTCTTCCCCTCCGGGTCTCCGCCACCACCATCCTACCCTGGAATTTAAATCGCTCCACCCCCTCTCATCTTTAAAAAAGAAAACCTATCATCCTTTGTTCTCTCCTCTTCACACTAAAATTCTGTGGAAAGTTGTCTGTGCTTATCACTTCCAACCCCCCAGCTCCCCATCCACTCCCTCATCAGGTTCCTGTCCCCAGCAGCCACCTCAGAAGCTCACCGAAGGACGCCAGAGACACTGCGTCCCTCCCTCTCCCTCAGAAATGTGTGCCTCTGCTGGGAACGAGCCCCTCCCTGTCTACTGCCCCATTCCTGAACTTCTACCCTGGAGCCCCCTGAGTCACCCGTTCCTGCCCCGATCCTTTAAGTCACTGGCCCCAGGGGCTGTATCACTACCCTGCCCGATAGCACCCACTCCAGGGCTCTAGTTAGCACCCAAAGCCTGATGTCCACTTCCAGATCTCTCTCTCTGCAAGTCCTTGAGCTCCAGACACGTAAGTCTGCAGGACATGGCCCATGATAAGGGGCACATGGCCCCAAATAACCCCTTCATGCCCTGCCCTCGTCCCCCAAAGCCTTCACCACTGCATCTCCCCGTCAGCTGCCCAAAACAGGATGTGCCCCTCGACCCCTCTCTCCCCCATCTCATGAGGCGCCAGTCACCAAGACCTGTTGATTCGGCCTTCTAAACAGTGCTAAGGTCTACCCTGCCCTTTCTTACCACTGTCTATGTCCGGCCACCATCATTTCTGGCCTGTATCCCAACAGTGGCTTCTGAACAGTCCTTACAAGCGACTCTTCACTAGCACCACACAGACATTCTTGTGAAGCACAGATCTAATCAGCTCCCTGCTTTCAGGGTCCCTGCTGCGCACCGACCTCCCTGTCCCCGACTTCTCCTCCACACCCTTTCTGCTCTGCGCTCTACCCTGTGGCAGTTCTGCAGGAAGGTTCAACTCACCTGGGGCCCAGGCCCTGCCGGTCCCTCCACCAGACCCGCTCAACTGACTCACTCTTCGGATTCTCTTCTGACGTGGCCTCCTCCAGGAAGCCTCTTCAGATTTCATAACGGGTTAGATGTCCACCTGAGGTGTGACTACTGCACCCTGTGCCTTCCCATTACAGCACCCACGCTGTCAAATGACAGAAGTCCCCTTACTGCACCCAGCTCCAGACCTCGAGCTCCCTGAGAGCGTGCTCTCAGCTGCTCCCACAACACCTAGCAGGCCGTCCCCTCAGTGAACATCTATTGAATTAATAAATGAGCATCCTCCAGTCTCCTAAAGCATGCAAAATCCCCACGCCCCGGTCTGCAGGGGGCAGGGACAGGGTACCGCTGAGGGAGGGGCCCCAGGTTTCTGCTGCCCACACCCAAGCAGCGTAGACAATACCTAGGCCAGGTATGGTGAATGGAAGCCACACGACTTCATGACACATGAAGGGTGGATGTCCAGGACCAAGGCTCTGGGCTCGGTCCCAGGGCTCAGGGCAGCAGGAGTGGCAGAGGATGCCCTGTCTCTCTGGGCAGCACCCCTGTTGGCAGGCACATGCCACCTTTCCTCTCTCCTCACTCTCACTTCCCTAGTGTCCTGGTGCCCTTTGTTTCAACTTCTCATGAAGAAGGGGCCCTTCACATGGTCCTGGCTTGAACATCTGTTCTTCCTTCCCACCCATATCATTTCCCTCTTGTCCAGCGTTGGTTCTCCTTTGCCCACCACCTTCAGCTGTCACCAAAGCCACCCTCAGCAGGTGGTTGCTTACTCTGGGGCCTAGGTTCTGTCTGGGGAGGGACAATTCACCCCATGACCCAGTCCTCCTCCTGGGTCTCGGCCCCTTCGCGCCTTCCCACTGCCCACCCGACTCTGCGGGGCGCTTACCCTCTGTCAGCCCCAGATGGATGCTCCAGTAGATCTGCAGGCACTGGAGCTCCTTCTTCATGCCCCGCTTGCAGCGGCAGTCGTACAGCGGGCTCTCCTGCAGGACCTCCAAGGCTGCCTGGCACTCCTTGTTGGCCAGCATGGTGTTGCGGTCCCGGCCCGCCAGGCACTGCCGCAGCGTTCGGTACCGGGAGCTGCAGTTGGACTCGGCCGCGCACAGCTCATTGGCCCGGACACAGTCCACTGGGGGGCGCCAGCCGTGGAGCTCAGGGCCCTGCAGGGAGGAAGGGCTGGCCAAAGAGCGGAGGGTCTCGTCTGGGTAGTGGGGAGGGAAGACAAGCATGAATGAGGGCCGCCACACTCCCCGCCCCGAGATGCAGGCCTGGGGCTCGGGCCCTCCTGGGAAGGTCACACCCATCTTGCACCAAAGGGCACCTGGACGGCTCAGCAGAAACCGCCCTCCTGGGGCCCCCAGAGGCTGTCATACTCCCCCTCTCCACAGTTTGGGCTCTGTTCCTCCTCCGTAAAGGCCTAGGAGCATAGCACGATGAAGCCAAGAAGGCCCTCTCTGGAGACCACAGTCCGTCTAGCATGGCAGCGGCCCAGAGTGCACTGTCTCGGCTTCCCCAAGAGCTGCATGTGCAAAGCGGGAGCTCCGTTCTACGCCACCCAGCCCCCTACAAACCTCCGCTCCAGGCAGAGACTCCTCCATCATGCCCTGAAGGCACCAAAACGTCATTAACGTTCAGAGCCTGCCCAGTTTATTCAGACCCTGCAGCGCAGGAAAACTGAGACCCATAGAAGAGATGCCAAGCCCGTGGCACATACAGAGGCAGAAGAAGCCCCTCTGAGCCCTAACCTCCTCATTCTGAGTTGCGAGACTTGCCAAGAAGACAGTAAGAGATAAGCCCAGCCCTGCCAGCGAGGCTGCCCAGGAGAGAGGAGCGACCCTTCCAGGAGCAGCCCCTCCACAGCTTCTAGTCCAACCTCACACCACATGGAGGCCTGAGAATAGGCCTGCTGTGGTCAAGCCCCTCCCAAGCCCCGCCTTTAGGAAATGCATTTGTGTGCAGGTGAGCACTGCCACCTCTCCCTCTGCCCTCCTCCCTGCCTCCTTCTACCAGTTGGCTTCTCTTGCTTCCTGCCTCCCAAGTACACACCTGTTATCCCAGCCCTGGAAAGGCTGAGGCAGAAAGACTGCAAGTTTGAGTCCCACCTGGGAAGCTTACTTAGACCCTGTCTATTACAGACGTCTGGGGACGTAGCTCAGTGCCGAGGTCCTGAGTTCAATCCCCAGCACTGCAAAAGCAGAAATCCAACAAATAAAAGACAAGGGCTCTGTTCTCAGCAGACTCATCTCTTCTCCTTTCTAAATGGCCTGGCTTCTCTCTCCTCCACTTTTTGGTTTTCTTTCCTTCCCTCCCCTGAAACCTTCTTCCCTTCTATATTGTTCTTCCTTCCAAAAGCCAAATGATAAGTCAACTGCAAAAAGAAAGGCACCTCCCTCCTTCAGGGAGCCTTTCAGAGCAGCCTCACTTCTGCAAAAGAAGGAGCACCCATCAGTCCACCCTCCTCATCCATTGCCCCAGGAGCCTCACAAGGGAGCGGGTGGGGAAGGAGATTCCGAGGAGAAGGGCAAGGACAGGCTGGCCTGACCCTTTCCAAAGCCACATTCTCAAAATGGTTCCCTCCAGATGTGAACGTCTTCCTCCCATCTTCCTGTCCTCCCTCAGCCCCTAACTGCAGACCCTGCCCCAGAAAGGCCCCACCCCACAGCCACAGCCAGGACTGCCTTTCCCAAGATCCATAAAATGACTTGAGAGACTTACTCCACTTCCTCCAGCCCCAAAACGTAATAATAAAATCTTAGGTCATTAACCCCCTCCTCAGAATACCGCAGAAACCCCCCATGCCTGCCCAGAGCACCAATCTCAGGCCTTCTCCCTAGGAGGCTGGCTCAGGGGGTAGCTAACGCAGGGGGACAGCGACACCTAGGGGTAGAGCAATGCACAGCCAGCAGGTCACTCCCCAGCGCCCCTAGGGAAAAGGAATCTCTCCCAGAGGGAGCCGGGCAGGAGGCCTACCCAACGGGAGACCTGTAAGGAGAAGAGCAGAGGTTGGGCGCAAGTGGGGGAGGCTTAGGGGCTAGGGCCAAAGATGTTCTTCTTCACTGACCACACCTCCACCCGCAACAGGAAAAGCTGGAGGATATGGCCACACTGAGATAAGACCGGAGCAGAAACCAGCTCAGAGAGGGAGGCACAGGCAGTGGAGACTGCCCAGACACGGGCTGGAGAGAGCGTCCTGCACACAAGCTGAGGTGGCATCTTTCTTTCTGAGCTTCAGCAGATTCCTACGTCCCCAATCCGGACTGAGTGCCTCCAGGGCACCCAGGAGCAGCTGAGCCAACACCCCCACCTGCACCTGCTGGCTCCCGTCCCAACCAGCCAGCCCTGGGCTCTCCATGGACCTGCCCCTGGCTCCCTAGTGGGTGGCCCCCCTCTGACTGTCCATGAGACCTAAGACTGGGATATCCTCGCATCCTCAGCCTTCTGTAGGCTCAGGATTGACAGCAGGCTTCATGCAGGGATGTTAGCCTTAGGGGTGGGGTGAAAAGGGCACAGCCTGCCCGGCAGGTGGAGCCTAGAGCCCCAAGAGATGGTCCTTACATGATCCTGGATAGGCCCCCCAGGCCAAAAGTAAAATCTCTCTTTTCCTGCTAACTGGCACCAATGATGCGGTAGGGACGTTCTCTGCAAATGGCTGGGGCCTCCTTTCACCAACTGTCCCTGGCTCTTGTGATCAGCTCCCTGGCCCCCTGACCAATCAAGCCTGGTCAGAGAAGAGAATCAAGGCAACCTAGAGCCTTTAGCCAAGAATCCTAGGAGAGGAGAGGGCAAAAGGTGTTCTGGAGATGTTTCCCAACCCTGCATGGGGGGAAACTTGGATCCACCAAGACCAGACATGTGGAGCGTCTTCTAGAAATATGGGGGTACCATGAGACAACACAGAGCTCTGGTCGCCTTCCTGTATCCAGTACCACCCCCTGAACTGCGCATTAGATTGTCACTGAGAAGTGGCCCTTCATACCAGCCCCAACTCAAGTCACTGTCCCCATGGCATTCTCTCCGTGGACACCAACACTGGAGGTCAGGATGGCTGGCAAAAAGGCCTGTCTCTCCACAACAGAGGATGACCGCCAAAGCCTCTGCTTCTGGGAGCTCCCACCACCATCTCCCAAGCTGAAATTGTCTGCAGAGTCTCCAGCTCCCAAAAGCCTCTGTCCTGAGTGGGATTTCCAACCAATTCCCAACTATGGGCTCCTGGCTAACAAAAGGGCCCTAGGGCTGAAGTTGCCTTAACACCGCCCACCCTGTCCTGTCAAGAGCCTGCTGGAGCCCTGTGGTCACCCGCCTAAGCCCTTGGTCCAGCTTAGAAAGGGATTTCTCAAAGGACAGGGAACTGAAGGGCTATGACCCAAGAGGACATGGACCTTCCTCTCCAGCAGAGGCCCCTCCTCTCTCACCATGAAGGCCCCAGACCACAGACACTGGTGGGCATTTCTGCTCGTCCCCCATACGCACACACAAACCATGAGCAGAAGTGCTAGTGCCCTTCTGGGAAACAGGAGAGTTGATGCCTCAGCCTCCTCAGCTGGGGGCAGCCCTCCTGCAAAATGGGGGTCCAGGCGAGGCAGAGGTGCTCTCCTTCAACCCCTGCCCTGGGAAGGTACCCACACCTGGGATTCCTGCTCGCTTAGGAAGTATGTAGCTTAGCAGCAAAGCAATCTGGCTGTTTCGCTTGAAATACAATTTTCTTTTCTTCTTGGCCTTGATCATTCTAAGCCCCAGAAAGCTGTTTTCAAAGCAGCAATGGGAGAAAAGGTCAGGTTTTATAAGAGCTCCTTCAGAATGAGCGTCCACTTCCAAGGGGCTGTGGGGTGGGCTACAGGGCCACCAAGTGCCCATAGCACTGTCCAGCTGCCTCCCTCTGCCCCTCCCACTCCACAGAGCTGCCGCTGGCTTAGAGAGGCAGGATGGGGAAGGCCACACCCCAAGGCAGGGCCTTGTCCCTGAAGAACTCAGAGTGGGGCGAGGCAAGGGGTCCAGGACCCAGCCAACACTGACTCCCGGGGACCCCAATCCTCTGCCCCAGTCTGGGGAACACTGCTTAGACCACAAACCTCTTTCTGCCAACAGCATCTCCCTCCCCACTGGGGCCTTCACGGAGCCCCTCCCACAGGAAGAAAGGGGCGAACTTGTGTTCCCCTCTTCCCAGGCAGGCTGGTCGCCACCAGCTACACAGCCAGCCAGGATGCCTGGAGCAGCACCGCGCTGAAGCAGCCCTGTGCTCTTTCGACTCTCTCTCTCTCTCTCTCTCTCTCTCTCTCTCTCTCTCTCTCACTCACACACACACACACACACACACACACACACACACACACAGTTCAGGAGGTCGCTCTCAGGAACACCTGCTCTCAGGGCAGCAGCTCCCCCAGGACTCTGGGCCAGCACCAACCCTTTCAAACGCCCTCTTTTCCTCCCCAGCACCTGGACACCCGCATTCTCCAGAGCCATTTCCAGCAGCTGAGATTTCACACAGCACAACAGAGGGCGAGGGGCGTGAGAATGAATGCACTGGGGCTCAGGGGCACAAAGCAGCCCCTCTTTCCTGCCCCGAGGGAGGGGGCTTACAGAATGAGCAGTGGTCTTTGTCCAGGTCCCTTTTCCTCCTTCATCCCCCGCCGTCTCCTCCCGCAGAAACTTTGGCTTTCTCCGCCCCTCCTACCCTTGGCTACAGGGCCTGGACCCCAGAGGTGGAGGGAGTAGAGGCAGCCGTGCACCGCTGCTGCCCACCCACCGGGCTCAGGTCTGGCTGGACCGGAAGGCCAAGGGTAGGGAGAAACTTGCAAAGTGTTCCAAGGACTGGGGAGGTGGGGTGCATTTTCCAGAGGCTGACTGGCAGGTGGGGGGTTCCTCTGGGGCTCCCCGCAGATGTCCAACCTGCAGCTCCTGCACAAACCCTGGCCCTCTGCTGCGATCGACACCGGCACCGACCGGGAAAGGTGGGACAGACAAGATTTTTCTCCCTTCCCTCTTCTCTTCCAGATCGAGTTTTTTTCCCTCCCTTAAGTTGCAGCTATTCGAACCCATTATTTCGAGGAAAATGAGTGCCATCACAGCGTGCGCGTGAAGAGTGTGTGTGTGAGTGTGAGAGAGAGAGAGAGAGAGAGAGAGAGAGAGAGAGAGAGAGAGAGAGAGAGAGAGACAGCGAGCGAGTGTGGTATGAATGTTGGAAGGCTTCTTCCCAATCCCCCCCGCCCCGCGCAGCCAGCCAGCCGCGGCTCTGCTCCCTCCACCCGCGTCCACGCCGCCCGGCCAGCTCGGTTCGCCGGAGCCGAAGCCAGGCTCGCCCCTCTGCGCGCTCCCCGCGAGTATCCTGCGGCGCCTGCCCCGCTTGCCCCCCTCCCCCGTCCCAGGTCCCGGCTTGCTGCCCGCGCCCCAACGCGCGGCCGCCCGCAGGTACTCACCTAAAAAGAAGAGCAGGCAGAAGGCGTTTGCCAAGATCATGTTAAATAAATCCCACAGTTATTTTGTCTTTCTCTCTTAGGTTAAAAAAATGAAACAAAATTTTAAAAAATAATAATAGCCAAGCAGTGGTAATCAGCCCCGAATCCAATGCGGAGATCACAGCCTGTCCGCCTGATGATATCCTGAGTCCTGCGATTCTCGCCTCTGGCTGGAGCGGGTAGGGTGGGAGGCGGGCGGTGGGCTGCCCCTCGACGCCCCCCCTTGCCCACCAAAACCAAGCACACGTTGCTGTTTCTGGCTGCTTTCTAAGCCCACAGCCGGTCCTGAGGTCAGCCCTCCCCTCCACTCGTCCGGGAAGGAGAGCCCCCGCGGGTCCAATACCCCTGCGCTTCCCGGGGGACTGGGGAGGTGGGGGGCGAGGCGATCGAAGAGTGCAGAGCTGGAGGGAGGTGGCGAGGGAGGAGGTCAGAACAAATGCAAATCGGAAAGAAATCCACCGACGGGTGTGAGCGACGGGTGTGAGCGTCGGGAACAATCCAGTCGGTGCTCCGAGGACAGGAGACCGGAGTCCCTTCTTTCCCACCAAGATGAAGAAAAGATTTTTTTAAAAATCTTCAGCTAACCTTCGTTCGCTCACTTTTTTCCTAATGGAATTCCAGTGGCCGTGTGTCTCAGCGCGCGTCTTTCCTCGCCCTCCCTCTCCGCTCCTCTCCACTCCCTCGCTCTCGCTCTCCGCTCGCGCTCTCTCCAGCTCTCCCTCGCTCTCCTCCCCCTCCGCGCTCCCCCTCTCCCTGCTCCTCCCTCCGCCCGCCCCCTCCCCCTGCGCGGCTCCCTCGCCGCTGCTCTCGCGCCCGCGCCCCTCTCCTCCGCCCCGGGCTCTGCGCTCCGGCTCCCAGGCGGCTGGCGGCGCGGGGCGCGGGAGCGCGGCGGAGTAGCGACACTCTGCAGCGGCGGCGGCGACACGGCGGTGGCGGTGGCGCCGGGGGAACGCTGACCGGAGGGAGAGCTCCACCGCCGTCTCCCCCTGCTCAGCCGCTCGCCCTTCCCCGGACTGACCTGCTGCCTGTGCCGGAGACTGACCGGCTTCCAGGGTGACAGCTCGAGCTCAAACCCACCAAAGCCTCCGCACCCTCCCCGGCCCCACAGAGCCTCCTTCCTGGCCGCGCGGAGGCTGAGCTCTCCAATCTCCACTGCCTCTGCCTCTGCCTCTGCCCCTGCTCCGGGCCCTGGGCCGCTGGGTCTCGGAAGCCTGGAGAGGCTGAGGGAGGCTGGGGATGCAGAGTCCCCGGGAGCCCCAGCAATCCGGTGGCGTAGGGGGCAGGGCGCTGGAAACCCCCGGCCTGCGGGTCCCGGTCTGGGAGGGGGCTCCACCCTTCGCGGGCCGTGGTGTCCCTTTGTCAGACACCCGAAACAGAGCGTGTCCCCAGGGAACCAGGGAACGAAGGACGTCCTGCGGCGCCAGCGCCCCGCGCTCGCGAGCCCCGCGCAGCCTGCCCGCTCCAGTCTAGCCCCGCGCGCACGCACGTGTGCTCTCCCCGCAGACATGGGAACTTTCCCCGCGCACCGCGGCGCTCTGGCTCCCCGCATGCCCAGCCTGTCGGCCCTTGGAGACTTCCCTTTCCCGACTGAATTCCCCACCCCTAGATCCAGGACAAGGTGGCGGTGCTGGTGCACCCCGACTGCCTCCTCCGAACTGCGCCGGAATGATTGCGCGGACTTGCACCCCACCCCGGCGATGCGCCCGACACAGACTCCCGCCAGGTCTCGGTACCGGGCTCCGTAGCCACCGCCCCCCCACCCCCACCCTGCGCGGCGCTCAGGGCCCGCTGAGCTACGAGGAGCTGGTCCCCAAGCAGCTGGCAGCTCCCGCCTCTCCAGCCTCCGGCTGGGGACCCCTCTCCGGGCCGCCAAGGGGGCGATTGATCCATCTGTCGATGGGCCGGGCTCACCAACGTGTTTTAACCACGGAATTGACAACGCTCAGAAGCGCCTGGAGGGGAAAGGGTTGAAGGAGAAGTGAGGTTGCTGACACGTTCCGGCAAGACCAGAAGGGGAGAGGTGACGGGCTGCAGCCGCGCGGGTGCACACGCCGCGGCGCGCATGGGAGCACACTCCCACGCACTGGGCACCCCAGCTCCACACTTCCTTCTGATACACCCTCGGCTACTAAGAGCCGCCGGGAGCACTGGGTTTTCGCGCACACGTTCCTGGCGCGCAGCTCCGCGCGCTCACGCAGTGGGCTGGGGAGGTGTGCGCGCAGCGCCTCGTAAACTTTCCGTGCTGCCCAAAACCAGATCTGCGCCGCATCTAAGGTGTAGCTGGAAATGCCTTTCGAAATACATTTTTAAATAACAAGACTGTATGACAGGGTAAATGCTAGGAATGGACTTGCGGCGAGGGGAGGGGTCAATCGCAAAGCCTGCAGCCTTAGCTAGTGGAGAAGCTAGAGGGAGCAACTTCCATCTTGTGGATTTAGGCGGGAACGCGGCTTCTCTGAGCTGTGGAAGTGCAGGGCCTGAGACTCATTCTCCGAATGCTCCCTTTTATTTGGCCTTTCTGAGGCAGTGGCCCTCGATCCCCAACTACATCCTCTTGCCCTACAGGTGGGTGGTGCCCGCTAGAGCTGCCTCGCTGGCTGGGTAGTGGTTGCCCCTGGGCTAGCAGAGAAGGCGTGAGGACGGCCCGATCTGCCGCCTCTGCGATTTCCGGTTCCAGAAAATGACTTTACACCTAACAAGATCTCCTAGCATAGGTCCAAACATTGGAGAACTTAAGGGACTGGCCTCAGACAAGTGTAAGTTAAAATTTGAAAAAGCAATAGTTACCCTGCCAGGGAGTCTTGGACCAGTGGCCTGAGCCTGGAATCCCAGCCATTGAAAACTAAGTAAAGGAACAAAAACCTTTCAGCCTCCCTTCCGGTATTCCCAAGGCCTTCCGGTGATGCGAATACTGTATGTGTGTATAAACTCCGTTTCACTGCAGCTGAATGTAAGGAGAGCTCTGTGAAACATATAGGAGCTCTGCCCTCTCCCCCTTTCAGTGAACAGGCTGAGAAGGCAGCAGTGGACACCCCAGGATGGCCCCCACGAAGTTTCCATGGGGACCAGGACTGGGATGCTGGTGGCAGGAGATCAAGGCCTGGAGACCCTCCAGGGACTCAGGACCACCCAGCTCTCACAAGGACAGTGAGCGACAGCCACCATCACCAGCATTCAGCCTGTTGTGGCACCTTGAGGCTGGATTTCTCGCCCTCCAGTCTGTACAGAGGTCTCCCCCCACCCAGCCAACCCCAACCTTCGCCTGAGCTGCTCTTGGGTATGACATAGTCTAGCATCACATCATTAGTTCCTAAGCATCTGCTATGTATGGGACACCCCCCGACACCTTGTACTAGGATCTGCACTGGAAAATGTACTAGTCAGAGCCAATTTAATTTCTCTGAACCTTAATCGTCTCATCTGTAAAATGCAGAATTTTTTTTAAAAAAAGCCTTGTGGAAATCAGATGAGATACTCCACACAAAGCAGCAAACACAGTGTCTGCCTGGCTCACAGAAAGTTGCTTGCCCCTTCCCCCAGGGGTCTAGGAGGAGAATGAAGGATGTGGGACAGGCAGTAAAATCCAAGTGACAAATGACAAAGCAGAGATTAAGAAGTGGTGCCGTGTCAGGCGTGGTGACCCACATCTGTAATCCCAGTTATTCAGGGGACTGAGACAGGAAGATCACAAGTATCAGGCCTTCCTGGGTAGCAAGACTCTATCTCAAAATACATAGTGTCTGGCGATGCACCTCAGCGGTAGAGCCCTTGCCTGGAATGCACAAGGGCCTGGGTACAGTCTCTCAAGGTAGTGATACACTTTCACACACCCTCCAAGACCTCTGTGCTTTGTCCATTTGTCCAACTTCATGGACCCCACCCAGCTGCTCCTGGCTCACAGGCCGCTGAACCCCTGCCCAGCCCCTCCCTATGCTGATGAGGAGCTGTGATGTTCCAGAGGAGGTAAAGAGAATACTTAGGCCTTGAATTCCCTTCCTTTCTCTCCTCTCTGTGGTCCCACTTGTCTTGTGGGGGGTTCCTCTGGAGGGCAAATGCAGCGGGAAAGCAAGAAGGCCTTGAGTGGGTGCACCAGCACCCCCACCCCCTGTACACCACGAATGGGCACACACGTGGTGGTCACCTGTCAGGTGGCCAGATTTTCATCCCTGCCTTTCCTTTGATAGAAAGAGGAGGACCAAGGGTTCCAGTGGCCCCAGGGTAGAAATCCACCTGGAATGAAAAGAAAAAGTTGTTCTGCCATGTAGCTGTGACCTGTGGAGAACCAGAGCACTGGGAAGGTAGACATGCCCTTGGCATGAGACAGCGTCCTGCCCAAGGCATCGCATGATCCATCAGCCTGCACAGACTTACTGAACACTCGCTGTGTCCCCGGCACAGTGCCGAAGGCAGTGGGGAACAGGGCATGTGTACACTGGCCAGGGAAGCCTTTAGAGACGGGGTTAGTTGTGCACCCATGAAAAGACAGGGAGCAAGCCAGGGGCGTGCTGGGGCCCAGGAGAGAAGGGAGAGCTGTCCGGGAGGACTTGCTGCTCATGGGAGGTGGATTCACTAGGACCAGGAGGCGCGAATAGAATTCGGTGGAGCATGGACATCCCAGCAAGGGAACTGCCCAATCAAGGCCACAGTGGTAAGGAAGGTGTAAGGAACCTCCGGGCTGCGCACTTGTAATCCCAGTACTCTGGGAGGCTGAGGTGGGAGGATTGCACTTCGTTCAATGCTCAGAACTGCAAAAGGAACACTCAGCAGTTGGAGGGGCCTGGCAGAAGATCTGGGAGATCCAGCTGGACACACTGGAAGACCAAGCACTGTAAGCTGTGGACATGGGCCCCTAGGAGCAGCTGAATGTGTTTGGGCAGATGAGTGACATGAGCAGGTTTAGCAAGACTGATCTTACACCTGTGTGAAGGATGGAGACCAGAGACCAGAGACCAATTGACCAGGGAGTCAATTGTAACAGCCTTGGTCTGCACTATAAGGACCCAAAGCAGGAAGTGATAGTGGGCATGGACAGGAGGAGATGGTTGTCAGAAGCACTACATTTTAAAGATGAATTAGCAGGATGCTGGTGAGGGAGAGTGACAAATTATCTTCCACTCAGAGAAAATCCAGGCCAGGATCGAGAGAACAGCCCTGACTTCCCAGAGTTTGCCATCAGAAGAAACAAGTAGCCTTAAAATCTGTGTAGCCCAGACTGGCTTTGAACTCAAGGTGATCCTCCTGCCTCAGCCTCCCGGGTGCTGGGATTACAGGGGTGTATCACTATGCTCAGCCTACTTTTTAACTCTAGCAATAATCTTACAGTAATAGCCCCAGAGGCAAAACACGGGATACAACTTACCAAGGTCATATTTTAAGTGGCATTTTCCAAACTCAGGCAGCCAAAATCCAGATTCCCTCATTGATCAGTTTTGGGCCTCATATAAATGAGCAAAGTGACAGATGTCCCAGCCTACAAATTTTCATATCTGCGTTAAGAACATCTGAGGTAATCCCCAGCCCCAGCCTAGTTTAGCAATAGTGAAAAAAATCATGAGGCTCAAAATTCCTTTTCTCATCTAGACCACGGGCCTTGCCGGGCCTCGTCCTGAAGTTCAAGTCCAGAGACAACAGAGTCCAGTCTGCAGGGCGTGGCTGCACAGGCCCAGCTCTTCATCCTGGCCTGTATCATCCCCAGGCT